AAACTTGAACATAGAGAAACTAGTGACTTTGCCCTCGAGGTCAAAGTGGAGAACATCGTCTTCGACTGGACTCAGCAACCGACACAGTAGGGCATCGACGATCTGCCCCAAGAACTGCACGACTCTCAACTCGTACAGAAGCCAAAGAAAGGACTCCAATACGACGGTGTAACTACCTCTAGGTAGCCTTGCCCGGCATCTGTCTTAAAGTCGAGTTCAAGTGATACCCCATGCTGGAAAAATTTAAATATTAGCAAATCGAACATATGATAATGGAATACAATATAATCTCAGAAAATTAAGTGAACCAAATTGTAACAACTGCACGGAAGAAAGAATTTTAAATTAAAAAAATAAANAATTTTAAATTAAAAAATAAAAGAAAAAAAGAATTTGCTAATTTCGTTAAAAAGAATATTTTATTTTGGTAATTATCAATTCAAATTTCTTCATTTAATTATTATTTAATTACATTTGAAAAAATTATAGATTAATTTACAAAGAGTATTAAATTGAAAAATTTTAAATTAATGAAAATATTAAAAGGAAAATAAATAAGTATTTGCTAATTTGTTAAAAAATAATATTTCGTTTTGGTAATTATAAATTTAAAATTATTTATTTAATTATTTATAAATAAATTAAAACAAACGGGAAATATTAAAGTTAAGTAAACAATTTAATTATTATTTAATTACATTTGAAAAAATTGAAGATTAATTTACAAAGAATATTTAATTGAAGAATTTTAAATCAATTAAAATATTAAAAGGAAAAAATAAGAATTTGCTAATTTGTTAAAAAATAATATTTCATTCGGTAATTANTTTAGGCCACTCCCTTGGGGATAAAGGAACAAATTAATGTGTAAACAATATAGATGGAGAATCTTATTACGCCAGCTTGACTTTGAACTCTCTTGAAAATTTTGAATCAAATACAGTCTTACGGAACATCGTTTTTTGTGGGGAAAAGTAAACTCCGCCTACATTTCTCAATTTGTCTCTCAAAATTTCGTAGAGAAAAGTATAAATTTCTTATAGTGATATTGTAGTCAAATGCAGTTTGTTGATGTGTTCCCCTCAAATGTTGTACTGTATTACGAGATAACGTATGAAAATATGATTAAAAAACAAGTGCAAAATTCGAGGATGAATATTTGTTAACTGGATGGGAATGATGAAAATTGAATGTGTGGCTGGGTTCAATTAAATCGATGCCATTTTTATCATCCATAATTTATTATCATTTACAATTTGATGTCTTTAATTATCTTTTAGTTAGTTTTTACATTTAGGTGCCTTTATTAATTGTTAGAAATTTATGGACCAATGTTGCAATTATTATCTAAGTTTGGAATAGGTTCTCTTTCTCATCATACAGCAGCCTAAACATTAAGGGTGGCTTGGTTTTTTAATGAAAACTAGGGGAAGTTGCAGCAGAGGTCATTAATCTTTCATTTGTTTTGCAAATTTTATTATAACATTCACTTTGTGTGACTCACAGTTTCAAACTTTTCAAAAAATTATGCACTAGAAAAAGTCAAAATTTAATCAATTTTAATCAAATTAAAAAGAGTAAAATGGCAACTTTCCAATTATTACATTAAATAATTAAGTAATCAGAAAACAAAAAAACCAAACGCCAGCACCCCCCATCCCCACTCCTCTCCTCTTTCTCACCCCGACCTGGAAATCATCCATCAACAATGCCACCCGATGCCACCACCAACTCCGGTGTTGTATCTCACTTTCATCCATCAACCTTTAAAGCCCAAGCAGAGTAATAATCAGTAGATTCAGTACTCAATTGAACAATTAATAAGGAGTTAATTGTTTCAATAGTCATTGAACTTCACAAGGTGTCACATTTCACTAACTAAACTTTAAATTGCACCCCCATTACTAACTGAACTTACTTAAATTGCACTCCCTCACTCACTATGTTAACTACGGCTATACCGTTTGCCTACGTGGACCACAGTTTTCACACTTGGATGTTAAACCCCTTATACATCTTGCCACGTCATCAATCCCAAATTTAACATAAAATAATTAATAAAAATGAAAAAAGAAACCTACCCCAAAACCCACGTTGCCACCCACCCCACGTCCATATTCTTTCCCACCCACCCTCGAAACCAAAACCAAAATCACAGTCACCATCTTCAACTGTCGACGACCACTAACACCACTACTACACCCACCCACCGCCACCTCCGCACAATCCATGATTCTGATCCATTGGTTGTTGGAAAACTTACTTCCCTGTGACAAGATAAGCACAATCTATGCACAATAAAGGCCCACACCCACTCAATCTGTTGTTGCACCACGTCCACCTGCATCCACACCGATTTCAGCAGCACCATCAGTAGCCATTTATGGGCGGTGACTTCTCGCAAGGCGCACACCCTCTGACAGGCCCACCCTTCTCGCGAGGCCTGCACCAAATTGGAGCCAGGCGAACCTCCAACAGACCTATTCGATCATGGGTAACTATTTAATTGTTCCAATTGATGCTCCAATTGAGGTTGGCCGACGTTTGATGTTGTGGGATCAGGGGCTGGTTTGGTTATGGTATTTCTAATTTAGGTGATAGTGCCAGCCATTGAGCGACAGTGACGGTCGGCCTTTGGCCGGTGGTGCCAACCGTCGGGGTAGGTAGGAGTGGGAAATGAGGAGGATGGCACCGGCGTGGGAAGAAGTGGGAAAGGAGGAGGATGGATTTTTTGTTGGTTTTAGGGGGGACGTGTTTGGGGATGGATGACTTGGCAAGATGTATAAGGGGATTTAACGGCCAAGTGTGAAAACAGTGGTCCACGTAGGCAAACGGTATAGACGGAGTTAACATAGTGAGTGATGGAGTGCAATTTAAGTAAGTTCAATTAGTATGGGGTGCAATTTAAAGTTCAATTAGTGAAACGTGACGAGTAAATTGTTTGAACACTCACTGAACTATAACATGGTCACGACTTACTCACTGAACTTCAAATTGCCTCTAAATGGTCACTGAACTCGATTCCAATTGCCCACCCCACAGCCCTCTGAGTGTTGGATGTGGTGCAATTAATGAAAGTTCAGTGACCATTTAGAGACAATTTGAAATTCAGTGAGTAAGTCGTGACTATGTTAAAGTTCAGTGACTGTTCAAACAACTTACTAGAAACGTGACACAGAAGTGTGAAGTTCAGTGACTACTGACTATTGAAACAATTAACTCTCGTTAAAACCAACACCAAGCAAACATGATTCGCCGGGGAAAAAAATTCGACGCACGTCGCTGGTAGAAATAGAAAAAACAAATGATACCACCGTCGACGACCTTCCACTCTACCTGAGCACAACAATCAAATGATACTGGATATGAAGACGAGCTCGTTGTTGATTTTGCTGAACGCCGGAAGTGAAAAACTCGACGATAGCTTCGGGAAATAAAGTCCTTTACAGACGAGCGTCGTTCTTCGCCGGGTACAACAGTCGAGGAAATATTTGGTGAATGTTTGCGAGTTTCGATGGCTGCTGGAGATGTTGAGTCGTACGGCGGCGAACCTTTGATTGAAGGGCGGAGGGTTTCGGCTTTGGGGGTTTTCAATTTCAGGGGGGAATATAAAAACGAAATTGGGTTGTTTTCAAAATCCCCTTTTCAGCCTGGCCATACCCTGTTACTAACTCCCTGGCCGAGTAGTGGGATTGTACATATACACATATCTTGTTACCTATTTAGCAAAAAAAATTGGAAATTCTGAATAACAGTTCATCGTAGATCGGAATTCTTTGATTGGTTCAGAATCTGCGTTTTACTGGACCCGAAATCGAAATATGGTGTTTGTTGATGCTCATATAATAGTCCTGCGCCCTACGAATTCCTCTGGTAAAACATTTTCTTTTTATCCATGCATGTGTGGCGTTGTGCATATGCAGGTGTTTGTATGTGTTTGAATTATTGGAATTTTAATACAGCAGTACGGTATAGTAATTGGCTACATTGTAATTTTTGTTTTTGTAATCAATATTCGAGTTTGATTTTTCTTAAAAACTAATTGAAATGTTATTTGTGTTTAGAGTTTAGCTCTTGTGACTTTTCCAATATGAAACGGAAACCTGGTCATATATATGTAGAGGATTTGGGAGTTAATCATTGCAGCTTAATTGAGAAAATTAGATAATTAAGTTAATTAGTTTACTATTCTATGTTCGGAGATGACAAATTCTGAAAGGGATCTTTATTTTTTTGAAATGACTGGTGGGAAATGTGAATTAATTTCTCTCTCTCAATGTCTAGGATCGAAGAGAGTGATGAAGTCAAAATTTTATGGAGATAATTTATTATCTTCTAGAATTTTATAAACATTTTTTAGGCAGCTTCTTTGCATCTTATTCTTACTGAATTTGTTTTCTTCTGCAGACTGATATGGTTGAGTCTGGGAAAAAAGTTGAAGGGAAGGCAAATTCAAGAATGGCAAGTGTATGTGTGAGATGCTTGAATTTATTTCTTAGCACTTGGTCAAATGAATCACCAAAATATCTAAACATGGAAGAGTTATTGTCCTAGTTGAAGTTGTTGACTCAATAAAATTGATATTCCTGTTGGAGGTTGGTAGAGATTTTTCCTCCTGTAACAAATGCCAAACCTCAGTCTGATAATATCGAAACCTCCCGTTTTTTCTTGTTGGAGACCGTAACATGGATCGCACAATGCTTATATATGGTAGCCCATGTGGACAACCTAAGTATAGGCTTTGTTGTACTGAATAATGTTACATTAATAAAACTGCACAAAGATAGAATCCTCAATGAAATAGGAGATGTGATCTTACTGCATTAGAATGTCATAATTACGCTGTTTATGACATTAGATTTGTTGTGCATGCTATGATAATAAACGTTTTCTACCCTCTAGATACTACATAAACTACAAATTAATGAAGAAAAAAGTGAAGCAATATGCTAATCAAATTGAAGCTGGATCGCTGGCATGTTCTCAAGGATTTTTCTCAAATGCTGGATAACCAGGTATTATAGAAGTTGTTAAGATTTATGAACTTGTGTTGTTTTACAGACATGCTTAATGTTGTACTATCTGATCACAGATTTTATTCTAACATCTTTAAGCTCCTTGAAAATCACTGAACTCGTGTAGGAGTGTTTTCTGGGATTTTACAACATTAAGTGGCATTTCTCTTTCATATATACACACACAGACTTTTAAATTTTGATAATCTTTTTAAAATTCTACTGTCTTAAGGGTTGCTTTGGCGTTTTGAAGTGGATTGCATTTGTATGATATGCTGAGAAGTCTAGAAATTAGACATAAGGTAGAGAAGTACCGTTTTTTAAATAATTAACCAGCTAGTAGAAATATTTTTGGTTTTTATTGATACAATTTCTAGGTTATGAATTTTTGCATTCACTGCCCAATATGTGTGTACAAGATCTAGTTTAATGATAGATGAAAACACATGGTTCGGTTCCATTTTTTTTCTGTTTTGTTCAGCTTCACAACGCTATTGGCCCTATGTGTGACTCTATGTGATTTTGGTCCTGGTTAAGAAATGATCTAGAAAGTCCCGAGGAATGCGTGCAGGGAAACATTGGTTTGTTTTGTAGGACTGTAAACTAAGTTAATTTCCTCAATATCCTTGCAGATTGAAAAAATTGTTCTTTTTCTGTTGGGACAACAGAGTCTACTCGCAAGCAGGATAGCCCAGCTTAATGAACGACAAGAGCATCTTCAGGAACAGCCTGATATATCCATAATATCCGAGTTACGAGAATCTTATAGAGAAGTTGGGAGAGAGCTTTTAAAGCTTCTGTTTTTTTGTTGAAATAAATGCCACACTGGCCTGCGAAAGATCCTTAAGAAGTTTGATAAGCGTTTTGGCTACAGATTCACTGATTACTATGTCAAAACTCGTGCTAATCATCCATACTCCCAGCTTCAGCAAGTATTCAAATATGTGGTAATGTGCTTAAATGAATTGCAGATTCTTGTACTTCCGTTTCCCCGTTCTTGTCATAATCCCCTTAAAATTATATCATAACTATAGATATTTTTGTCTCAGCAGTATCTAAATCATTACATCCTCATGAATGAAGCTTACCAGTTACCATTCCAAATAACAGTAGAGAGGAAAAGAAAGATATTATTGCTGATAACTAGTTTTTGCAGGGTTTAGGAGCTGCTGTTGGAGCAATATCTTGTAACCTTGCAGATATCCAGGACCGCCAAGGAAGCTACTTATCAATTTACTACCAGCCAGCCCTTCCTCTACAGGTATTTCATATGTTGAAAATTTAGTTAGCTTGTCTGAGTTTTGGTGAGGCTTCTAGCCTAGTTTTGGTGCTTTTTTATTAATGTAATGTTCTTGATTTACTCCACAATTTGCTATTGCTTCTAAGTTCATTTGCAGGATCCAGTTGTGGACTCCATAAGATCAGCTGTGGACAGATTAACTCATTCAACAAACTTTCTTAACTTTTTGGGACAACATGCACTTATCATGCAAGAAGAATTGCCTACTCCTTCTGAGGAACATGATGATGAATGATACCTTTTTATGTCACTTCTTTTGATCTTGGCAAATACATTTCTTTATATGGTCAAATGCATATTGTTGTTCCAACAGCGGATGACTACTCTATGAGCCTTGGGGCAGCTGTAACAGTCTGTGGTATTGTGATAGGGGCAATGGCAGTTGCTCGATATTTTCTTCTGTATATTTCAGTGCTTGATCAGATAAGTCTTACTTCAAACCTCTGATATTTAGCAGTATAATTCTATTTGTGGGAAATGTCCTGTATGCATTGGCTTATGATCTCAATTCAATATCAATTCTTTTGATTGGTCGACTATGTTGAGGGTAGGTCTCTCTCTCTCTCTCTCTCTCTCTCTCTCTGTGTGTGGTGCATGTATTTGTGTCTATGGCCTTGTCACCTGGTTACTTTATTTTTTTGTGTTTGTTAAACGTGATTGCGGTTTTTACATGATGTTTGATAAATAACTTTTGCAAATGGTTGTTGAAATTATTATACTGATCCCAGGCTCTGATGAGAACCTTGATGGTTTCGGTATTATCTTATATACAAATTTATCATGAATGACCTTGTAGTTTATAGATACTTTATTCTATCTAGATTACGCTCTTATCATGAACTTGATCATTGATAAAAATCACGGAGGTAGATGCTTGGATTGTTATTATTCCTAATTGATTAACTATACATTGTAAGATTCAATTTTTATTGTTGAATGTAGGAGCTATTTATTTTTCAGGTTTTCCCTTTTTACAGATAGGCATAAATCCACTGCAGAGCCTGTATCTAAGATCCACGATAGATCACGTTGAATGACTTGGTGACCATGACCACGAATAGTTTAAGATGACAAACATGGAGGGCAGTCTGTGGAAAACGAATTTTAATAGAATCCTTCTAGATTTCTGTGGATAATGACATTCTGTTGCTTGTATTGCTTTCATTTTTCCTTGCTGACTTCTATCAAGAGGCAATGCATTATTTGGATGTGACAAACTATCTATAAAATTTAAGTAATACTTGCTACTCCATGTTTTCATACCACATCAGGTAAGCTGTATTAATTATGGGGAAGACCAATGGACCACATTGAACTCTTATTTAGGAACAATAGAGATAGTATGAATAAGAACAATGAAGATCCTATGAATGAAATGTTATCATTTATTGATGTCACTTGCTGTATTTGTTTGCTTAATTATTCGCTCACACTTAACCTCATGCTCACACATTCATTTGCATGCTTGTGCACTTAACCATAGTGACTGCTGGGTGCAATGCCTTGTCTTGAAAGTGGTGATTGCATTTGGATATGCTTTGGCAAAGTGTAATTCTCCCTCTGTCAACTTGCAGTTTCTGTTCTGGCAGAGCAGTTAACCGACGTTATATCATTGACTGTGTGCCACTTAACATCCGCCTGCAAGCTTCAGCAGGTTTTGTTAGTGCTAGTGCTCTCGGAATGGTGTGTGGTCCTGCACTTACTGGGTTACTTCAAACTAATTTCAAGATTTACAAGATCACATTTAATCAGTACACTTTGCCAGGTTAGGTAATGGCCCTGGCATGGTTAGTCTACTTAATGTGGTTGTGGATCTCATTTAGGGAACCTGCTCAGGAGTCTGAAGTTAACAATGTCCAACAGGAATCTAATGGCCGTATGTTTACCTCATTGTGCTTCTATCCATTCCTTTTTTCCACATGTATTGACCTTTTTCTTGGATATCAACAAAATTCAGTGTTATGGTTTCCAACAAACAGGTGAGAAAGTCGTGAAAATCCAATTATATAAACCAGATTAAGTCTCTGTTTGGTATCCATTCTTTTTTTCATTCTCATTCTTCTACTAATTTTCAACCACACATTCATCAATAAAATAATATTTTTCATCACATCAATAACCTTTCCTTCATTTTCAACCACAAAAAAGGTATGATTTGACACAAAGAATACATTTTTTTCTAGAATAATGGTTACCAAACGGTGCCTAAATAAACTTTTATATCTCAATTGAAATTTTGACAATAAGATAAAATGTATTGTTGTTTGTCTTTTCTTTTTGTCCCTTCAATGCCAAGAAGCTCCAGTGTGATGGGAGTAAGGCACTTTTTTTCCTGTAGATGATCACTTAATTAAGTGAATTAGCAACAAGATTGTCATAGTTATTTTGATATTTATTCTATTACTCCATTTATTGGCGAGGGGCATTTGTTGGTAAAATAGTAAAAACAATTTTCAAGTGATAGGTGTGGTTGAGGTTTCACACTAATACAACTGTATTGAAGAATGAAGCCAGGCCATCACCTAGCCTTGCCTGCAACTTACCCTTTCCAACACTAAACTAGGCAGGAACTTTCTGTGCATTCAGCATTGTGTCAAGTGTCACCTTTTTAATCCCTAAACTGACTGGTCAACTATCTGCGCAGCGTGTAAATCTGTAGAAACTGTATAGTAATTGTTAGTTTCTCTTTAACTATTTGGTTGTGCACTGCTGTTTCCATGTCCAATATCATTATCGGACTATTATGCATAGCATAGTCTCCTAAAACTTCTGGTTTCATTTGCAAAAATTCTTCAATGAATAATCATTAAAGAATGAAAGCTAGATGGGCACCTAGCATTAATCCTTTGGTCGACAGTAGAAAATGATAAGCTTGAGAAGGGTCTTGCACAACCGTTGCTTTTAACTTCAACTGAAAATGAACAAGATGATGAGGGGGATCAAGAATTTGATGGGAGTGACGAAGCTCCTGAGGAATCCCGTCTATCAGCTTATAGGTTACTTACGCCTTCTGTTATGCTATGTGCTTGAATGTGAGTTCATGTTTGTATTGAATAGTGGGCTCTTTTTCTTTATATATTATTGTAGAAAAGTTCCTGTTTTTTATTGTTGGTGGATTGATGATGCTTTCTTGGTGTTAGCTATTTGCTTTTATTCCTAGACCAGACTGCCATCTTCCTATATAGCTGTGATTAAGATAAAATCAAGAGTGAATAATCTAGGGAGAGTGCATGGTTAAAAAGTAGGGAAAAGTTATGGGTCCACGTGCAAGATTTTTTTATTGGAACAATGTGTGGTTGAAAATGAGTTCGAGCAAAAATGATTTTCAAATGAGTTGTGCCAAACAAATGCTTAATAAGTACACTTGTTTATTTTCTCAAGTCTACGTTTATTGGCTTGTATCAATTTGTTATGGCTAGGATTTGTGCTAAACTTTACATTAACTACACATTAGTATCTTTTTGGGACACTTGAAGAACTTCTCTAAAAGAATGGGGATTGTGTATGACTGTGGGAGATGCTCCCACAGCCCACTTAATTAGTCAAGATTCTCATTTTACTTGGCCGTTCTACTTATCTAGGGATATTTTGCATGCTATTTTATTCAATTTCTGAACTTGTTCAGTAATGGTTTTATTAATAAGTTGGGAATAATTTTTTCCCAGAAAAAGGTCAAATCGAAAGAAGTCAGTCAACAGTTATAATTAATGTGAGGAACTGCTGCGGTAGATCATTATTTCCTTTAAGAAATTGCTTGCAAGTGTCGTGCCGAGCCCTTCCTACTATTTCTTTATTGTATTTGATTGTATTTCCATTGAACCTCTTTTCACATAATTCACATATTTGTTGTGATTTCCAATTTATTATATTTATATTATTTGTTTGGAATCTGGTTGTTTGAAAGCATCCTATTCTTATGAATATTTGGAAAATTTAATAAAATTAAGCTAAACTGCATAATTAATTAACACAGAACCCCGCATTCCCAACTTCCCTCTCTGCTATTTGCCAAGCTTACGCTAATCCTCTTGTTGAGGACGCAAGGCCCCAGAATTAGGAAAAAGGAAAATAATGCTACTTTCGTTTATCTTGTTTTGGAATACCGAAAGCATCTATGTCATGCAATATGATCATATTTAACTATCCTTGCAAAAGATTCTATGATATTTCGGGTTCAATTATTGACTTACTTCATGCTTAAATATGCAATGGAGATTCTTCTCTCAGAATCAAGTGTCATCACTACATACTATTTTGGTTGGACTACGAGTACAGTTTCAATTTTTATTGCATGCCTTGGGTTAACCGTGCTTCCAGTAAATATTGTTGCTTGAAGCTACATAAGCAATATGTTTGAGGACAGGTAAACGCTTTTCTATCAAGCCATGCGTCAATCTCTAATTTAATAAGTGCGTGTTAGGTTCGTGAACTGCTTTTCAATCAATCTAAGACAATGTGCATGATTGTACTTCCAAGTAATCACTTACAATTAAACACTATGGCTATTGTACATTTAAGGAATGCTAATGGACATAGCAATTTGCTATGAGCATGAAGTTCATGAATTTTTTCTCACATGAGTTTGACTTTTTGTAAAAATGTTTTAATAATTCAAGATGTCCCTAATTTGAATTTTTAAATTTACAAAAATGGGGTGTTCCATGTCCTTGATTAGGTGAGGACACATTTCTCGCATGTTAGAACTAAAGATTATGAACAATATAGGATACGCCACATTGCATGTTTGTATAGTGTCTCTCTAGTGTTTGAAATTTAAAAAATATATAAATATGGACACTCCACATGACCTGTTGGACACTTCCAGGAATGTTCGAGGAGTGCCAGTATTCAATACTTGTTGGTAACGAAAATGCCACCCCCAGTTGGACTGTTGATACTTCAGAGACTGGGTTGACAATACATGTTGTGAAGAGGTTTATCACTGAGCCTAATGTTTTACATAATATCTTGCTTCCCCATGAGATGTATCACAAGGATTGTGCCTCTTTTTTAGTTTTATTTCTCTGTCTATGAAAGTTATGCGCAAGGAGAACATAATAGTTCAAGCATTAAAGAGGTCCTTTCGGTGCCTAGTGAATAAGCATGTTTGCTGATTTACTTACGAACCTGTTCTAACGTAGAACGGGTTGCATCTGATCAAGATCTTCAACTTATTCTTGTTTTAAATGGCAGTTACTGCATTTCATCAGGAATCTTTGGTATCACGGCCTACTTATCGACTTTTATTCTCAAATTGTTTGTAGGCGAATTTTACTGGCATCTGAAATTGTGGTTTTGCTGGGTATACTCTTTAGTTTTCACATAATAATCCCATATTCCGTGCCACAGTATGTAGTCTCAGGACTAGTAATGTTTGTATCTGCTGAAGTACTGGATTTTTGTATCATTTTGATGACGTTATTTTTTCTAGTGATTATAGCTGTCAATTTGTCGCTTCTCTCCCAAGTAATGCCATTCAGGCTTTCTCGTGGGACCTATAATGATGGGCTTCTGTTGACTGAAGCTGGAACACTTGCTCGAGTGATTCCAGTCTTTGCAGATGGAAGAATAACGCTGGCCTGGTATTTGGGACAGGATAGGCTGTTGAACGCCACCCTTCTTCCTTCCCTTGTGATTTGCATAGGTTCCATTGTTGCCACCTGCTGTACCTTCAATGATCTCTTCTGATCCTCAAGTTTGAATGCATAGTGATTGCTCATTCATTCTTTCAGACAGATCTCTATATTATTGTTTAATTTGTTATGTTTGGTTTTTTTATTAGTTTGATTTTAGCTCATGCATGAATGCTGTAAATTTGAAAGTGTCGTAGTCTATTCATTTCATTTTGGTCCAGTGTGTTTTTATTTACATTGTTTTTATGTAGTTTGGAGGGACTTTGTGGTTTATTTATGAGTAATGCTATTCGTAGTGAAGACTACTGGTAGTCTTTTTGCGTGGCATATATGTGACGGTTTGTAATTTGATGCAGCCTGTTGATAATTTAGGTTCAGTAGATACTCGTACATCATCTCCTATTCATAGATCTACGCATGCCTTTATACACGAGTTAATAAAAAACTACAAAATTAATGCACCAAATCACAAACCACCACATATATGCCACGTAGGAAGACTACTGGTAATCTTTACTGCAAATAGCATTATAGTTTATATACACTTCTATTTACTACATTTATGTAAAGCTCTTAGTGGCAATGGTTCGACATTTTATTAGAAAAATCAAGATTTAGAGACTACGTTTTGGTGCCACTTGTTCATAAAAATTGTGAAGGTGTGTCGGGTCTTTAATGAAAAATGAATTCGACTGTATGTCAGTATTTTGAAATGTAATACTCATTACATTCCATTTATATAGGTTGGTTTTGTTTTTCACACGGGTTAAGATTCTTATTTAATGTTATTGAAAAATTAATTTTTGTCAATTTTTTTTTTTTTTTAATTTACTCTTATTTAATTATCAACAGTTAGTAGTAAATTTTCAGACAACATGGACAACATGGTTCAAGCATACATTGTACAGAAGTTTGGATCCCGAGAAAGTGGAAATCTCTTGTTATTTCTGGTATTCATGATGTAAGATATACTTGTACAATTGAATTTTAAATAACAGCTGAAATCGTTGGGGAGGGGAAGCCGGTAGTAGGAGAAGACTAAGGACCATAATAGAAAGCATTTGTATAACCACTTTTGTGAATATCTTTTTCATTGGTACGATGTTGAATGATTCTCTTTCAATATAACATTAATTATAGTATTTTATCAATTGTAGCATTTAGTCTCTGTGAATATAAAGTATCTAATATATCTTTTGTTGTCTTTAATAAATTGTGGTACAGTCGAACATGCTAAATTTAGTACCACATTAAGACAATAGTTTTCAATATTTACCTCCACAAAAAATGAGTTTAAACTGTAAAATCCACGAAGAAAGAGACTCCGCAGGAAGATTAATCGTCTCTAGATGATTAAAATGCAAAAACCAGTAAAAATAACATAAGAAAAGCATATCAAAGGGTGCAGGTGCTTCATGGCCGTGCGCCTTGTGATGTCTTCAAATGGTCTAGTCGAGCCTCAAACATGCAAACCAAGCCACTTGCTGCATTAATAATAAAAAATAAGTAACTTGAAAATAAATTGAAATTTATTTTAAACACAATCTAAAATGCTCTAACAATGTCGTGGAAAACAGGAAAAGGTCACACTACGTGGAATAGTATGGCTAATATTTATAAACTGTTAAATCATTTTTTATTCATATATTTCGTGGAGTTCACAAGTACGATCTATTTATCCACTATTCAATTAAATCTATAAATAAAATAAAGTGTTTATAAACACTTTTCAACTATCCAATTAATTCATGGAAAAAATTCATAACTCAAGTGTTAACTATCACCAATTTAATTTCTAGGTTTTATGTTTCAAAATTCAAAACTCAGGTTATAAATAAATAATTAAAAATATTTTATTAATTAAAAATATTAAAGTCACAATTATGCAATCAATGATCACAATTGCGTATGTATAGGTCACAACTTATTTATTGGTCACATATTATCTAATTAATTATTCACATATTATTTTACGGTCATATATCAAAAAATTTATAGATCACAATTTATTCTTTGGTCATAAATTTTCAAATTAGTTAGTCACAAGTTATATAATTTTTTGGTCACAATTAAATGATTGGTCACCAATAACTAAATAATTGGTTACAAATTAACCAAATAGTTGGTCACTTACACCAAACACCCAACTCCCACTCCGATCCCGATCCACTGCCAATACTTGATTACAAACCAACCAAATAGTTGGTCACAATACCTAAGTGTTGGTCACACTCTCTCTTCTTCCCACCCTTTCACCACAATGCCACCAACATCAATTACAACACTACCATCGCACCCAACCACAACACAGACCGAATCACTTCCACATATTCATCTTGGTAAAAACCAACTCCGCCTCCCGATTTACCTCAGCAAACAAGAAATCAGCCTCTTGATTCACCACCACAGATTTACTTTCGACTGTGAACTAGCTGTAGCGGCTCAAACTGAGCGCCACACCTAGATTTGAGTGTCGAGTTTGAACGAAATATTGTTCAGATCTAAGTTCATCGACCATCGAAGAGCCTGTAGAGGCGTAGCCGCCTCAACTTTGCCTATAGAGGCGCCACCTTACGCAGGTTCAGAGTTGCACCTTTGTCAATAGAGGCGCAGAGCGATGCTGTGCCGCCATGCCGCAGTGTGATGGTGGTGTTGGGGGAAGGGTGGATGGTTGTGGCAAAATGGGTTTGGGGTGGACGAAGGAGAGTTGGTGGAGGAGAAATGGGTTTATGGTATATGGCTGCGATGATGGAAATAATTTAAGGTTTGTAGTGGGATTGGGGAAGGTAAATTTTATAATATTATTAATAATTTAATTAATACCCGATTTTTGGATAAATAAACCTCGCACCCTATTTTTGAATTAGAAAACTTTAAACTCGTGTTAATAAGTAATTTCCTCTAATTTCATATTCAGATGGTATTTCAACTGAAGGATAAAAAGTGAATGCAACTGAGTCCACTAGGCTCGTTCTCATTGGCTGATTATTTAAAACCTGAATTCAATGGCTGTGATCATTAGTTGGCCTTGTTACTCGATTAGTTGAACTCTTTGATATTCATTCGATTCTTTTTTTTTCTATTTTTGGCGCGCTACTCAGTTGTCTCTGTCTCTCGACCGTTCTCTTCATCTCCTTCCCATTTTGAACTGGTGACCTTAATCGATCTTTAAATCATCTATTTTCGCATTTTGTAACAGTGAACCTGAATCGTTTGTTGGCTGCTGTGATTGGTTTCTGTTCGGTCGGTATTAGTGCGATGGGATTTGTGTATTTCTTGGGTTATGTTTATGACATCTAAGCTTTAGTCTGATTTTGGTTCCTTACAGATTGGACAGGGGGCGAAACTGAGAGGTGCTCGTCGATGAACATGTTCCGAACATTGATAAACCGGCGGGCGAGGAGGTCACTCAAGACGTGGGGACTGGAGAAGGCACCAACATGGATGGTATGGCGGCCGAGCCTCTGGAGCATCAGCCACCGCTTGCACACCAAAGAGCAGGCGTCCCAGCTCATCTCCGAATCCAGGTGCAGAAATTTTTTCAAATTTAACTCGTCCGGTAACATGGCATTTATCCGATCGGCTCCCTTCATTTTTTCTCAATAATTTATGAGATTCAAACATTTCTTCCTCTAATTGTGTGTGTGTATGAAAACTAGAACAAATCTCTTTAATGTTTTTTTTTTTTACCGTAAAATTATGGGATTTTTGCCCTTTCTTGAATAATTATATGTTTAAAATTTATGGAGAGACAATACAGATCTATTTGGTATTTTCTTGCGGACATATGCACTGTGTGTCGAAAATTTAGGACAGCAAGTGAAGTAAGCAAATATGGAGTGAATGGCTGGTTGCAGGGGGGTTTTCTGTTCCTGGAAACTTCCATTATAGTGCATGTCTATAATCTGAACTTCATTGCGTTGCATACATGTTACTTTCTTTTGCAGCAATCACAAAGACTAATGGGTTTCTTGCAGTTTCTTACTTTCTTCTGTATACTTAATTTTCTTTTGTTTTTCTCCTCTGCAGCAGTAATCTGAAACCATATATTGTTCACGTTGCTCATCCTACTGGTTCCTCAAATGATCTGCTTAGCTACTATCAAACATTTTTGCCTGAGGAATCTCGCATGATCTATTCCTACCATACTGTGTTTAAAGGCTTTGCTGCTAGATTATCGCCTGAGGAAGTGAAGGCAATGGAAAAGATTCCTGGATTCATCTCAGCCCGAGTGCAAGATGTAGTATCTTTATATACAACCCATTCTCCTTACTTCTTGGGGTTGAACTATAATATGGGACTGTGGAAAGAGTCCAATTACGGTAAAGGTGTGATAATTGGAGTGATAGATAGCGGAATATTCCCTGATCATCCTTCGTTTAGCGATGAAGGAATGCCTCCACCTCCTGCTAAGTGGAAAGGAAAGTGTCAATTTAATTTCAAGGCGGGAAACAATAAGCTCATTGGAGCGAAGGATTTTTCGCGTGAAAATGGGACACCATTGGATGAGAATGGCCATGGCACGCATGTTGCTAGCATTGCTGCAGGGAATTTTGTACCAGGTGCGAATTTATTTGGCAATGCAAATGGCACGACTGCAGGAATTGCTCCGCTTGCTCACTTGGCTATGTATAAAATTAAGACAAATGCCTATTCGGAAATTGACATTAAGATGGAATTGAATGTTTTGCGTGCAATAGATGCTGCAATTTCTGATGGGGTGGATGTGATTTCTCTTTCTGTTGGCTGCTTGACTAGCGACTATTTGGATGACTTAATCGCAATAGGTGCATTTAAAGCAATTGAAAGGGGCATTTTTGTGTGCGCCGCAGCTGGAAATGAAGGGCCAAATATTGGTACTGTAGCAAATTATGCTCCGTTGATACTCACTGTGGGTGCAAGTACCATTGACAGAAAGATTAGAGCAACTGTTGTGCTGGGAAACAATTTAGAGCTAGATGGAGAGTCGGCTTTTCAGCGTATGGATTTCACTCCTATGCAATTATCTCTCGTCTACCTTGGATCGACTGCTAGTAACTCATTTTGCATACTAGCATCTCTCGCAAACATCGATGTCAGAGGGAAAGTAGTGTTGTGTGAAACAGGTAGGATAGGAAGAATTAAGACAGGTCAAGCATTCAGGAAAGCTGGTTGTGCCGCCGTGATTTTCATGAATAAGGAGCTCGAAGGCGACACCATAAATTTAAAGGCTCATTTTCATCCTGTAGTTTATATCAGTTATGCCGATGGACTAAAAGTGATAGCGTATATTAATTCAACGGCTACTCCGAGAGCTTCATTGTCATTCAAAGGAACTATTATTGGAGATGATCGAGCTCCATCTGTTGCTTATTTTTCAGGTAGGGGTCCTAATCCGTTAAGCATTGGAATTCTTAAACCCGACATTATTGGCCCTGGCGTCAATATTGTTGCAGCTTGGCATGTTCCAGTTGAAAAAATTAGTACCAAATGTCCATTCAACATGATTTCTGGAACTTCAATGGCCACTCCTCACTTGAGCGGCATCGCGTCATTGTTGAAATGTGCACACCCGAGTTGGTCCCCTGCAATGATTAAATCTGCAATTATGACCACGGCTGATCCGATGAACATTGTCAATAACCCCATTGAAGACCAAACTCTACAACCAGCAAATATTTTTGCTACCGGTTCTGGTCACGTGAACGCAATAGAAGCAATTGATCCTGGATTAGTTTATGATATTCATCCTGAAGAGTACATACGTTATTTGTTCAGTTTGAATTACACGAACGAGCAGGTCAATACTATTGTGAGCCGGGAGGTTGACGGTTCAAATATATCCGGCATATCTGATGCTGAACTAAACTATCCTTCATTTGGCATCTTTCTTAGATACACAAGTCAAACATATTTCAGGACAGTTACTAATGTGGGTGAGGACAATTCAATTTATTCTGTAGTAATTGACTCTCCACTGGGTATTAATGTGAGTGTTGAGCCCAGCAGACTTCAGTTTTCTAAGTTGAACCAGAAGTTGACCTATAAGGTGACATTCAGCCGATCAGCCACAGTCAGACTCAATTCAGTTGGTCAAGGATCCCTTATATGGATCTCTGCTAAGTACTCCGTGAGGAGTCCGATTGTTGTTTACATTGAATGAAAAGGTTTTTTCTGTGATTCTGAAATCCCACACTACCTTAAAAGAGAGAATGAGGCAGTTATTGTTCATTTTGGCGGAGGAGCTCTCACACAACTGTAGCCGAACTGGTTGTACAAACTGTAGCAAAGCTAGTTGGCACTATCTTTGCTTTTAAAAGTTTTTGCTGTTTCTCACTGTTCACTGTAGTTGCTTTTTTCTTTCAACAAAAGTCTAGCAAGGGGCCATTATTGTAGGTACCTTCGTCTCTGTATTCTTGTTATATAGATAATATTTCGGAACGATTTTCACAGAATCATCATGTAAGTTATGAGTCACAGCTTCATTTTACTTTTCTTTAGCATCATTTTGCTCTTCTTCCTTTCCCTTTCCAAATTCTGCAATTTCCCTTTGGTTTTTTCATACAATTTGTCTTTCCCTTGCTTCTTAATTCATTTCTGCATATGATTATGTTTCAGTTTAATAAATTAGCTTCAATTTATTGTTAGTGTTACTGTTGAATAATGAAAAGATGGCGGATGAGGAAAGAGAGGAGAAGGAGCTGGATCTCACCTCTCTTGAGGTTGTCACCAAATAAAAATCTGCAGTAGAAATTGTGAACAGTTAATCCTCTACCCTCTTCCTCCCTGTCTGTGGATGCAGGTGCGGTGCTTTGTGTGTTAAAATGTGCGTGGCTTAGAATTCTGGGTATAAGTTCATAGAGCATAGAATTCTGGGTATAAGTTCACAAGGGAAAGCTTGAGACAGAACTTGCTGGAATCACGAGGCGTAAATTATACTTCTCTTAGGCCAGTTAACATTTATGGACCATTGAACTACAATCTTGTGGAAGAATGGTTCGTCCACCGTTTCAAAGCTGGTCACCCTATTCCAATTCCCAATTCAAGAATACAGCACAACTTGGTCATGTAGGTTGGTGAAGATTTCAACAATTCTAACAAAATCCAAAACTAAGTTTTAGAAGTACAAACCATTTATTATTTATACAAGGATATGTAACTTATGAGATGAGATGATATGATATAGCTTAGATAACATTAAATCTTCTCTAGACTCGGTGCTTTTTTGGGTGTACCTGTAAGGTTAAAAGGGAGTTTTGCAGACTGTCACTAGACGTGCTAGGCTTTATAGTGCTGAGTGTGGAGCCGCTGAAAGGAAAAATGTCCGTAAGTGGTTCAAAGAATGGTATGATGGATGTCTGGTCATGCTAGAATGGAAGTAAAATATATGCCAACAAGGGACAATGGTATAAATTTGTGATAAATTGAAGAAATGAAGCTTAGGTGATTTGAATATGTCGAACTTAAAGAACCCCATCTCATAAGAATGATTGATCTAACGGAATAGGTTAAAAAATGGAAATGTAGACCAAAATTAATATGCTCCAGTGTGGTTGTAAGAATTGAATTGCATTGGATCTCCCCATAGAAGTAGCAATGTTTTGATCGGTGTGATGAAAAAGATTCACAAGGTAGACCAGAAGGCTTAATTTGTTGTCATAACTGTATATATATTTGTACAGGGGTTTCCAAAACATAGTTTTAGGGGATTTCCAAAAACTATCTTCCATAATTCCATTTCATTTTGGTGTATGCCAACGAGCTCCAAAATTCAAATAGAATAAATGATTAGGTCACTTGTATGAAAATGCCAATTGTCTTGCGGAAATTGATCACTTTTCACTCTCAAGTTTGCCAAATATTTCCTCCACTCTTCTCTTCATTTTGATTTTACTTTATCATCCTATCCTCTTTGTTGTCTTTTTTTCATTTTCACTCTCTTCTTCTTCCATCTGTAAATTTTTTTCGAAATATAATTAGAGAGAAAAAGAATGATTTGCAAATTTTCTGATGAATTTTTATTTGCGCGATAGCTTGCTATAAATTTGGGCTTAGATTATTTATCTTGCTATGTTGTTCAACTTGCATAGTTTTGTGGTTCATTTCAATTTGTGAGGTACAGTTTGATACCACCGATTGTAGTTTTGGTAATCTATGCCTTGGAATTGTAGTTTGTTTAAAATACACATTTGTGCTTTAACTTATCCCTGTTCCTTTTCAAAGTAACTCCTTGCGAATTATAGATTTCATTTTCGAGTAT